AACAAGAAAAAAAACAAAACGTGGAACATATGACTGCATAACTGTGTGCTCTACTTTGCATCAATAGCAACGCATTGTTGTAGTGTAAACAGGACGGTTTCTCCACACCTGTGTCATTAAAGACGTTACAAACGTTCTGCGTATATTTAGCGAGACCTAGGTAGTGTCCCTGCGCAGTAAAGATATGTATCATCCTACGTAAAAAAACTCATTTTGTGCTTTTTTTTTTTTTTTTTTTTTTTTTTTTTTTTTTTTTTTTGGGTGCCCTACACAGGTGTAACTAAAAATGCCTGCAAAAAAACAATACGTGAAGCTTATTTAAAAAAAGTGAAGTTATACCACCCCGATTTGAATAAAAGCCCTGATGCCACGTCAAAGTTTAAGCAAATCCAGGAGGCCTACCAAGCCCTCTACAATGACGACTATGCACGTAATCATACGTTTAAGTGCCACTATGCATTAAAAACATAGACTCCACAGCGCTGTGAGATATATAATTGTCTTCATGCACGAGAATAAGGTAGTAAGCAGTATATCCGTGCACACCAAAACAAAAAACACACACCTACGTCCACCTCACACTGCCCTGCTGTCCATAGAAAAATCCCACTACGGAGAAAACTCTTACGGAAAGGGAAGCAAGGCGGAAAGTTCAAAGAACAACCAAAGTTACAGCTACTCGGATGACTTCACCGATTTTCATAAAGCGTTTTACGAAGAAGTTCGTAAAATGAGGGAAAACGAAAGAAGGGAACAGAACAGAGTAACATTATGAATAAATTATTTTTAAAAAAAAACAGGCCCACGTGGGGTGTATCCATGTCGTTACGCCCTACTTGGCGATTACCTATTCGTGTGAAACATTCGTTATCCTTCATATTACTTCCCTTAGTGGACACCACTAGTGTTGTCACTCTTGTTGATGTATTTTGTATCACTTCACTTCCCCCCCTTTAGCGTTACGCGAACAGCAACTACAGTTACTCCATCAACGATCTCCTTCATAAGTACCCTCGGGAGCACTTTTATATAAATCTCATGTTTAAATTATTCCCCCTCTTCGTCGTCCCCTTTCTATTCCTGTTTATTGTGTACAAGCAGTACCTGTAATGGCTGAGGCTGACGGAGAGAAGTTGCGTCCGCGTGTGTACGCATGTGTGGCAATGTCTGTCTAGAACGGACCCTTTAAAGTGCAAATTTTTATATATATTAATTTTTCCCCCATTGTGCTGCATAATTTTGGAAAAAAATAACACATTTTTCTTTTTTTCCACTGTTCTTGCAGACTGAAGAGTCATTTTAATGAGAAACCAATCCTTATATATGATGCATATGGTATAGCGCATAAAACAGCAGCAAAACAACAAATATATATATACGTATATATGCACACATGTATCGTCTTTTTTGTGCGTTGTTTTTTCGCCAATTCTGCCGTGCTATTACACTTGTCCTCAACTGTGAACCTTTTTTTAAAACAGGCAGAGCATTTTTGGTAGATTCCCATGGGAGAAAATTTAGGTGAGAAATTGCTGGAAGTTTTTGCGGAGAAGTGTAATTTAATGTGATATGAATTGAGGTTTCTCACTAATTTTATATGTCACCTTTCTCTTTTTGCAGAGCGGCTGAGTTCGACAAATATTAACACGTGGGTGTATACATATGTGTATATAATTATGTGCACATATGAAATAATTCAAAGACGGATCCTTTTCTGCTGAGTTAAAAACGTTTCTTTTTCTTAGCACTTTGGACTTTTTTTAATTTTTCTTCTCTTTTTGTATTCTTTTATTCTTCTTTTCTTTTCTTTTTTTTTTTTGTAAGAATGCGCCTTCTGCGCTTTTGCAATGAAGGGGCATAAACGATTTAAACATTCTGAATGAAGCTACTTTTTGGCAGGAGACCTTCATGTACTGCATGATGTCTTTGTGCTTCATTCCATTTTTTGTGTGTGCCTTTTAATTAAGCAAAAAGTTTTGTTTTATGAAATGACTTTATTTAAGTAATTGCGTGTTGCGGCAATTACGGAGTTAGTGGACGTCAATTTGTGCGTCCTCCATTTTTGTAGATGATTGATACTTCATTTTTTTAGACCCAACAGCATTACAGGCGTTGCGCTTTGTTTTGCCTTTATTGTGTGTTGCTTACCATGTCATTTTATTTTCTGTATAGACTTTTTTTTTTTTACAATAATTTATCGTACACATACGCAGACGGGAGGTATTCATTTTGCGCTACCCCCTTTTTAATATAATCCACCGTTTTTAGCAAGTACAGATTAGTGCCATCACAGTATGCCTTTTACAACGCGCATTCCTTCTGGCGCTTTCATTTTGACCAATTTGATGTATTCATGGGAGTACCACTGTGTGCAAATATATTACAAAGGTAGAGAAAAGAAATGGCACTTTAAGTACACTAAATAGTATACATACTGCGTATTTATTTAAAATGGGCAATTTTCTCCAAATGGAAACGCAGGGAATATATCACACACTTTAAGGTGATCAACCAGGGCACGGGTTATAACTTTTTTTTTTTTTTTTTTTTTTTTTTTGTCTTTGTGGTGTGCATATTTTTACGTGAACGTTTCTTCATGTGACAATTTATTTAAAACAACAACATGCAACAATCGTCGGTTTGTCCCTGTCTGCTTTTGTTCTTTTTTTTTGTTAAGTACATGTTTACCCTTTTGTAAAGTGATTCCTACGCAGTTTTAAAGACGGGGGAAACAACTGTTAACTACCAAATGTTGAACTTTCTGTGAACAGTTGTACACAACAAATCCGCAAAGTGATTTCCTCATTTGCGTCGTATGTGGACGCATGGTGCCATAAGTAAACAATTTTTTATGAACAGTTTAAAAAAAACGAAAAAAAATTCTGCACAAGGTGAAAAAAAGTGGGAGTAGACACACACAAAAATGAACGTACTTGTGCATTATTTTTTGTTCCCTGCAATATTTACAATGAATAGAAATCATGAAGGTCTGTTCAGTACAGAAAAGGAAAAAGAGGGAAACATACATTTAGTTCACAGTGTCATCATGCAACAAAGTGAACACTTATAACGACGAGCAATGTAGAATTAAAATTTGGATTTGTAACCATTGTACTGTCACACGACAACACGTAGAAATGGATTTGCAGCATTTACAACATGCATGTTGGTTCCTGAATGGCGCAATGAATTAGTACAAATTGCAGCGCGGAATTATGTGCACGTACATGCACATACACGCATGTTGGAAAAACGGAGAACAATGACGCGGTATAAATGTACACATGAATATGTTCAAAAATGTGCACTGTACACATTCGTACATATACATATACATATACGTCTATATTGTGCACGTGCTAATGGCGGTACAAGCTCAGCAAAGGTTAAAGTATTATAACGTGAATAAATTCGGCCATCATCCGTTTTGCAAACTTTTGTGCGTGCTGATTCGACAACTTGCTTCTTTTTTATGGCTGCTTATAAAAATGCGAAAAATATTATGAACACTTTTTTTTTTTTTTTTTTTTTTTTTTTTTTGTCCATTTTAAAGCTATTTCAATGGCCTTGCACACAGGCTATAGCTAAACTATTAAGAAAAAAAAAAAAAAAAAAAGCTTAAAGTTGTCTGTTTGTTTGGTCATTGTTTAATGTTTGTAATGTAGAAAAAGTAAAAACGAAAAAAATAAAGATAAAATGAACAAAGGAAAACGAACCAAAGTAGAACAAAACCGAACAATGTAAAAAAATTAAAAACTGAACTGAATAAAACCAAACAAAAGATAACCAAATGGGAAGACATTTTTTCACCGCTGTCGGTGTGAAGAGTGTTTAACTTTTCCATTGTTTTCTTCTTCTATGAAAGATTTACCTTTTGTAGAATGCCCATAATCTATTTATGCCATAAACATAGAATTGCCGACTTAAAGCAAGAAATGAGACGCAGTAATTTTTCATAAATTTTTCTATAGACACAAAAATACAGGGAATTCGTTTGAGTAGTTATATATCATATATATTTTTTTTTTTGTGCATGAGTGCACGTACACCCCTTTATGCGTGTGTCTTTTTTGTTAGAAAGAACCTGTTGTTGCAGCTACCGAACAGAACGAACCATACAAATGGGACAAGGAAAAAAAATGTACTGATCTGAGAAACATTTTTAACTATTTATTTGTTTATTAAAATAGCGCGCTAGTTATGCGTTTGTCAATGGTTCCAGAAACTATATATGTGAACCACGGAGCGCATGATTACGTACGTACGTGCGTGCAGGAGTGTGTACCTAGCATAGCGGATGCCTATACACACCCATGCATGCGCAAGAGCTATCAAATGTAGTATCTCACAGGAGGCGCATCAATCATTTATGGTGAATGCTTGCACATAAGTTTTGCACAGACATCGTGGTTTTTTTTTTTTGTTTTTTTATAACCATGCGGTTGCCCTTTATTATTCATCTCTCGAATTAGTTCACATTAGCGTTTACTCGCTTCTATGCACGTCTATTTACGTCTATTCGTGTCTACCCACCTTTGTCTGTCTTCATTATTAATTGTTGAATGGTCTCATTTGTTTAATGTTTAACATAAGAATAATTAATTTTCCCTTGTCCTAATTTTTTTTTTTTTTTTTCCTAAATATATATTAAAAATTTTACTTACACAACACATTTCGTTCTTTTCAGTGATGCACCGTACAATTAGTGCACAAGCTACATGCCAGACGAGTGCGTAATACTGTCCGATTCTTTATCTGTATGTTTGCTTGCTCGTATATCTTATTGTCTATTTATCCACCTGTGTATTTCCCTACGTGTTAACCCTTTTGTGTGCTTAATTGCAATTATGCAAAATAACAACTGCGCCTTTAGGTCACTCCAGAAACTCCCTCTCGTGTGTAATTAATTGGTTACTTCTGAACCAAGGGAGCTAAGAGTCACACGCGTGTACATATAAAACAAAAGTTTGCTTATCTACACAATCTCGTAAAACACAATCATGAATGACATGCACATGCAGCAGTATTACATGGACAAAATTAAGAAGAATATAAGTCAAATAAAAAAGTCGAAGAACATAAATTTGCCACAAAATGTACACGAAGGAAATTTCAACCTAAGTGAGAACTACCATACAAATCATATCGATGGACAGCAGCACAGATGTAACGGGAGGAACGACATACTTTTTAGCGAGAATAGGGATCATGTCAGAATTTGTTATGATAACAATTTGAGACGGAACCAGGAGGTACCCTGGGGAAAAGCGCCAATTCACTCTGAGTACAACGTCACGGGTGATACCAATTTTTACGATAATTATGTCATGGATTACAATAATGAAATGTACACAAATGACCACCCATATGAATCATATGGATGTAGCAATGGACAAACAGGTTATGTGGATGAAAATGTTATATGGGATGAAAAATTAAAACAATATAAGCCGACTCACGTTACTTCGCCTAGTTTTGTGTACACCCCAAATAACATTGCAGTGCAAAATGGAAGTGACATCCATGGCGGGATAATCGACACACAGTGTTTCTATAACTCCTGTGTAAACAAAACGAAGCTTATAAGTAATGGGGAAGTTAAAAAAGTAGCGAGTAGTGTCAGTGCTCCTTATGAGACATCAGAACCTCATAACAGGGGGAAGCTGCATATAGTTAGTAACTCCCTGTGTACGAACAACCATCATCTTAATACATTCTTCGATGAACACATGTGCAACAGTAGCAGCATTCCCTTTTCGAACTGTGTTAGAAATGTTAGCAGTACGTCCTGCTATGAAAGAGGAGGGAGCACAAAATGTGGGGTTACACAAAAGGATTACGACACGTATGGGCATCTCCATCAGAGTGGGCATATTGTCTACACCAACTGTTCTAATCATATATTAGGGGGCAACAGGAGGAACTACACGGGGAATCTGCCCAACAATGTTATGATGAATGTGGATTGTTCTGGGCACAGTTGTGCTGGTAGAGGCATTTTCCGAGATGCTTCCCTAGGGAGCTGTATACGAAGAGATGCACTTAACAAAGGAATGGTAACAGGTGGTGAAATAAAAACTGCTGTGTGTTGCTTAGCCGGAATTAGCAATTCTGATAGGAGGAAGCAGCCCACACCAAATAGTGATGAGTCACTAAAAAATGTTGTGCGCTCTCAAGGCAGTAAAATCCATGTAGGCTTCCCAAGACATAAAGATGTAGTAAAGGAATGGTTAAAAAATCCCATTGAGCTTATATACAAAAAACCCAGGGTAAATTCAAACCGAGCACACTGCGCAGAAGTTGGACGGGTGCACTCTGGTGTGGCTTCACAGGAGCGAAGCGACTTATTAAGACAGAAAAAAGTTTCGAACCCTAGTATCGATGATAATGATGGCAACGTTTTAGGGGTAAATTCACACCGTTGTTTAGGTGGATGCTTTGCAAAGAAGGAACTGCCATTTATGTCGAACAAAAAAAGCATCTCGTCGACTCGGCTTCAAGAACCTCACGTGTTCTACCCTAAAAAGGTTAGTTCTCTGAATGCGAACGCGGGTTGTAGAAATAACCAATGCGTGGGGGGTAGACAGGACAGTGCCATAGCGCCCAATGTGTTGTGCTTGGGCATGCTTGGAAAGACTCCACAAACAGCAGCGTCACATAATGGAGCCTCCCAAAACAACGTGCTAGAGCATAATGAGCATTTCATGAGCTCCTTTCGCACAGTGGATCAAAGTCAGGATGACAGGGGGGATAGAAAATCTATAGAGAAAAAAGATAACCACATAGTGTGCAGCCAGCAAGGGAAGAGGAGCTGCCTTAATTTCCCACTTCAAGGGATAAGCGTTTGTATGTCAAAAAGGGGATGTAGCCAAAACGAGCCCTACGAAGGTGGAAATGTAGGGAAGCATAAATTAGACATTGTGCACAATGCGCCTAAGCAGGACGACATTTCATATGTGGAAGAGTCCAATTTGGACCCTATGAATAGGCATATCCTCAAGGGGGACGATTCTTTGTGTGACACATCTTTCTCTACTTTGGGGACAAAAAACGACAGTGACAACAGGTTAAATATGAAATTAATGGATAACCACTTCCCCCCTCCCTGTGTTAACTGTATTAATAAATCCGATCTAACGTTGGGGGAGATGAAATATGTGCAGGCAGAAAAGCCCACTACGGTCCTTTACAAAGAGTCGAATGGGAGAGCGGTAGACAAGGTGTGTAACATAAATGGGATGAGCGAGTTAGGGGTGGAAATAAAGAGTGCCCCCTTGGTGGAAGAGACGAATAAAGGCAAGGTCCCCCAAACCCCCCCAACCGCAGAGGTACACATGACACCGGTACAAAATGTAGAAGCAAACTGTACGGACTACGAGGATGAGCACGATGGAATGGAGAACAAAAAGACCATGTATGATGATAAAGTGACAAACGAGCAAGACACCCTGTTGGAGAATTCTAAATATGATGAGGCCGCTAATGTTGGGGAGAAGCATCAAGGGACATATGAAGGAAGTAACTTCAACTACATCGAGGATGATGGTATAAAAGGGGAGGAGAAGAAAAAACTGGAGAAGAAACTGCACCAGTACTTTAGGAAGGAAGGGTTCTTAAGGCCATCCTCTAATTCGCTCCCCCACGATTCGGAAAAGGGGGGAAAGATAGAACAGCATGAAGGGGATGAGCCGGGGAAAAAGAGCGAAAAGCAAAAAAGGGACCAACCGAGCGAAAACGACTTGACCTCCTTCCTCAAAAGGGTGAGAAACAACTCGGCCCTGCACCCCAGCAACAGGAAGTCGTCTATCACGGAGGACTCCCAAATGGAGAATTACGATATATCCTCCAGTAGCGTTGACATATTTGACGACAAGGAGATAAAGGAAGTTTTCGAGGAAGTGACAATAAATAGGAGTGTAAAAAGTAGCTTTTGCATCAGCAGGGATGAACATGAGGGGCCTCGGAAGGTGAGCATGGAGCTGGCGCGGGATTGCCGAGAAGGCGAGATAATACACGATTCTGCCAGCGCCAAGGGGAAAAGGAAAAGAAGAGGAAAAAGAAGCCTCCCCAGTTTAGAACACCTATTTTGTAAAAACAAAAATTTATTATTCATAGAGTTGTTACGGAGCATGAAAGGGAAAGAGGAGGAGAAAAAAAAAGGGAAGAAGAAGGAGAATGCGTTAGAAAGTAAACTAAATCAGATAATGTTACCCACCTCTGAAAAGGAGAGAAATTTAATAGATAAAATAATTTACTGTCTAGACCCATCATATGTGAACGACACGGTGGATGAAGCAGATAAATGGAGGCAGAAGCTGACCTACATGCGTGATAAGTTTGTTGAGTGCATATTATGTGTGTCTTATCCGATCCACCTATGGAATGAAGAAACGTTTGAGGGTTATTTGAAGTCGCTTAATTTGAATGCACTCTTTGACGACACGTTCATAAAGTATGAAAGTGACCTACACATTGATTTATTTCATCTTGAGGAGGAGCTATTTTCAGACGTGGGAAATATTGGAGAGGGGGGATTTGGGGTGGTAACAAAAATGAGGTTCTTATCTAATCCCCAATATTATGCAATAAAAAAAATATCGAAAGAACACATTATAAAATCTCAGGCAGCTGGACAAACTTACCTAGAGGCGAAGTACCACTCTGTGTTGAGTCATGTAAATATAATTAAAATGTATGGATGCATGCAAGACAATGATTTCATTTACCACGTGTTGGAATACTGTGCGAAGGGAAGTATCTATTCCATATCGAAAAATTTTAAGAGAAGAATAATCCCTGATGAGTTGGCTTATAAATATTTTTGTCATGTAGTGAATGGATTGTATTACTTAAATCAGATGGGGATTTTTCATCGGGACATAAAAATGGAAAATGTCCTGGTGGATCATATGGACAATGCAAAATTGTCTGATTTTGGTTTGTCCGCCATGATTTTAGGAACGAGGAGTCATTCTGCTTTGTGTGGAACATTAGTTTATTTTTCTCCAGAAATTACAAGTGGGTCTGGATATGACTGGAGGTCTGACATTTGGTCTTTAGGCGTTTTGCTCTACGAAATGTTAGTTGGGGATGTGCCATTTGATGGTACAAAAACGCAAATAATAAATTCTATCTTTTCATGTAATTTAAAATTTCCAGACTTCGTCAACCCATTAGCAATTAATTTGATAAAGAAGGCTTTGGTGGTAGATGTGAATAAGCGCATTAAGTTGTGTGACATATCGTCTGACCCATGGATGCAGGAAATGTGGAAATTGTCTTTTCAGAAAGGGCTGATAGGGAATGCAGATTCGTGTTATAGCAGGAAGGATGACAGTGGTGATTTTAATTTCATAGGTTCTTTGTTAAAGGCTCAGTGCTTCTCAAAAAGCAGTCTGAACGCATCGCTAAGTTACCCCATTAGAGGGCGCGAAGGGGATAAGAAGCAGATGAAGTTGAGCCGGGAGGATGTCCTCGCAGATGCAGAGAATGACAACGTGGATGCACTTATCTTGGAGACACAACAAAAATTAGCAGAATATTTAAAAGTCGAAAATTTTTACGTGAATGAAGAGAATGTTCCCAGTTCAGATGGCATGAGTTCTCACCAATCGGAAGCGTCTTTCTCCCAAATCAGCGACTCTTCCGGGGGTGCTAAGCAGGAAGTGGCGGTCGGGGGAGACAGTCCTGACGCCGACCAATCTGCTGAATGCGATGTGAGAACATCGAAGGACCTTTCTGGGAACGTCCAAGAGGGAAGTAGGACCAGCGTCCTATCAGGCGCCCCTCATGAGGATCAATCCGTCACAAATGAGCCACAATGCAGCAGTGAATCTACCCCCCTGGAGGGCATCACTCAGGGGAGTGTCTACCCAAAGGCTACGAGCAGTTCGTGCGGCTCAATTATGGAGAACGGCGACAGTAGTAGTTACGATGATCCATGTTTGAAGGGGCTCAACTGGAAAACACAATCCAATCAGTCCAACGCAGCAGAGGAAGCCGAACTGGTTTATTCCTCAGAGAGTGTACGCTCCAATACGAATCAGTGTGATGATGTGTCTAGTGCACCTTGTGTTGAGAAAAAGTGCAGCGAGGATGAACGGGACAGGGACTACTTAGACGAGGGTGCAACACCGAAGATGACGGATGACGCTGTGTCTGAGAATACAATTCCTGATCGTCCTCACAATGATGCAAATTTGTATGATAACAGTTCCGTCTCAAATATGCTTCCCTGTTCTAGCAGTTCGCAAAGGTACGATAGATTATCCTCAGAGGTGGAAGAAATAGTTCCTGAAGTGGTTGATATTGAGTCCCTTGAGAAGTTAGTACAGAGGAAAGTAGACAATGGAAGGAGGTGTCCAAGGGCAGTTCTTCCAATTCATAAGGGTAAATGTAAGAACAGGGAGAGTAATGATGTGGAGGAGGATTCCATCATTTGTGCACGGGGAGAAGCTAAGAAGGCTCTCCTTGACGGTGGCAAGAAGAAGGGTGAAAACAAAAAGGGGGAACATAGCCCATCCACGCGTGGAAATATTCAGCCGAGTCACAAATCGGAGAAGGGTATCAAAGTGGACGAAACGTACATCCCAATTTGTGTAATTAAAGAGAAGGCGACGGAATCATCAGGAGAAAGTAACGGCACCAAAATAAATCTTCACATGAAAGATACCATTGTGGGGAAGAGCAGCAAGTCATTCGTAGGAGATAAGCGTTCGAAGGTTGACGCGGGAGAAGCACGCGTAGTGAAGACTCCGAGTATACAATTGTCGGGTGATAAAATGGAATATGCGAAGCGCTCGAGAATTGAAAAAGGACAAGACAAAAACTCAAAGGCGAATAAGCTATGTAAAGACACAACAAAGGAGGAAGTTGCAAAAAAAGGGACAACACAATTTAGGAGCACCTCAGAAATGAAAAAACGTTTTGCAGCAAAGAAAAGGGAAGATACAGTAATGAACAAGAAGGTGGAAAACATGTTAGAAAAAACATGCACAGGAAAATTATACAAAAAGGACTCTTTAACTAAACGAAGTGGAACTACCAACGCAAGGAAAAATCCTCTTGTCAAGGGAAAGGACAAGGAACAAACCGAGAAGGAAAAGAGACGGTCGCGTAGCTGCCTCTGTGATGTAGATGGAACGAGCCTGTACGATGAGTATATAGAAAGAATAAACAAATTATATCTCAGTATAAAAAATAAAAAGTACCTGAATGATCGTGAAAGTAGGAAGAGTACATCCAGTGAGGAAAACCAAGCATCAGCTGCGACGGGTTCACTGCAGAAGGAAAATAAACAGGGGGACGTCCGCAATGACGAATTGGTGGAAGATAGTTATGCACATGATAACGAAGGTTCTGTCGAAGGGGAGGAAAGCTCCTCCACACTAATGAAGAGAAAGAACAAAAATGTATCCAGTCATCAGGATAAGCAAAAGGAGGAAAGGAAGGAGAACGAACCAGTTAAGACGAGGTCTTTCCATTTGAGCAGTTATGCTGTCGAGACGGCAAGTAGTACACTGGTGGGGAAGAACAGGAACAATATAATGAAGGCAGAAAAAAATGCTATTCCGAGAGGGCATGGAGACAGACAGCTGGATGAAAAATCGTTGGATGATAAATTGGCCAATATAGAGAAGGAGGTGTCGGTGATGGGAAGGGGCAAGGAAAAGAATCGCTCTTCATATAAAAGCAGGAAGGAGAAATCGTTTCTCGAACTGAAGAGAGAAATTATGAATGAGAACGTTCCTAACATCAGCGAGAGAGTGACCCCCGATTTTTTCACCCCTGAAGGGAACGCATTTAATTCGAGCAGCACAGATGGGGAAGAAAAAAGCGTCTGCATTGACGGTGAAAGGGGGGTTAGCGGTGAGGGCACTGCCCTTGGTGGCGGTAGTAGACAGAATGAGGGTGACGCGCAGCAGGGTGGGAAGAAGCCTGCATGGTATTACGAGAAGAAAAATACATTAAGCCCCTCTAATTCGGATTTCGCAAGTGATAAGTGCTTTTACAGGCGATACAAGCAGAACAGGACAATACATTTAGACACCTCCCAGTTGGTGAAGCGGGATCAGGGGAGTTTTAAGCTGGTCCAGGGTGACACCATGGATTCATACACCGATGAGCAGAGGGTCGACAGCACAGCGGATGCAGAGTTTGTACAGTGCTCCGAGTTTTCAGGGAAGACACACCATGCAGAGCGCAGTGGACCCCGCAAGATCATTACGCATCCAGACGGGGAAAGGAAGTATGTGCATAACGATAATGTGAAATACCAGCGGGCGAAGAGCACAAGTAAAGCAGTACAGAAAGGGACAAAGGAATTATGCAACCTAGAGTTAATATCACAGATACGACAGAAAAATAAGGTCAACCTTTTGCATAAGGTAAAGAAGGAGGTGAAGTGTGCCTCTAATTTAGGCACAAGGAAAGTTGAGGGGATGGTTAGTTCGGGAAGCTTGAACAGGAGTTTATCAGAGGTACGCGTTACCTCTGAATCGGTTTGTGCGTCTACCTACACGGGACGTAGTGACCTGCTTAAGAAAGGTTCTTCCAAAATGGTCAAAGGAAGGGATGTATCTCAGAACTCGGGAAGCATTGGTAAAGGGGCCAATAGTAAGAGCGGAGTTCAAAACCCAAGCAGGGGAAACAATTCGGTGAGGAATAATTCAATTGAGAAGCAGAACTCGTTGAAAAAGGAAGTCTTGCGGAACGTAGGCAACGGGGTTAAGCCTACAGGAACACCCACGAAGCGCGCACAAGGCAAGAGTGACAGTAGCGTAACAAGCAGTGCTCAAAGGTTGGACAGTATAAATAGTATCTCTTCCAAAAGTGGAGAGAATAAGAAAAACATGATCAAAGTTACAAACAGCAGGCTGAACAGCAGTAGCACTCTGTTGAGCAAATCGAGGGAAGATGTAGACTCCAGTGTAGAAAAGAGGAAAAGGCTATGTGATGACAAAACGGACAGGGGGGCCAACAAAGGAGTGTCTCCTCGAGGAACTGTAAAAAATCCTTGCTTGAAGAAACTGACGGAAGGAAAGGTCGGAGGATTAGCTAGCTGTTATTTGAAAAAGGGAGAAAACAGTAGTAGAAGGAGGAATGGATCAGAAAATTTAAGCTCAGGGCAGAAGGATAAATCGAAGGGAATAGCACCAAACAGGTTCGTTCAAAATGGCAAATTGAGTAGAACCCAACAACAGACCACCAAACTGATGAATAGAGAAGCGTCTGATGTGGAGGCAGCGAATTTGGTGGAAAAGATAGAAGAGCAAGGTGGTAGTCTGACCCCGGACAGGACAGAAAACGGAACTTACCCCATGCACAATGGTAAGAGGATGATATTAGGAAATAATTTACAGAACGCAAAGGTAAAGCAGTACCTGAAGAGCAAAATAGAAAAGGTTAAGAAGGAGAATGAGTACGCGTCATCATTGGAGGTAAAAACGGAAGAGAGCCTCGGCCGCAGACAGAGGAGCCACACGCAGGAGGAGAGCAGAGAGGAAACCATTTCCCATTGTCCCACTGATCAGTATGATTCCTTTGGGCGATGCACCAATTGGAGTGCCACTGACGGCAGGAAATTTTCACTGTGCACGAATAATGAGGTGAGAAGGTCCATAAGTGAAATACCCTTCAACTGCTGCGTCAAGCATTATTTTCAGAGCGAGTCAAATGTGGGGATAAAAACGGGAGAGAGCGCACCTAAGGGAACTAGTTCAGGCAGCCAGTACGCAGAGGTTCCAACGTGGAAAATTGGTAACCTATGTCAGAGGAAGGAAGAAAGTGGGCACTCTCCATGTAGAAGCGGAGTAGTAGGGAAATACAATTGGACGACTTGCTTAGGTGGTGACCTTTTGCACATCGATCGGGTGAGAAGCGAGGCAAATGAAGGGGAAGCCCAAAAGAAGGAAGAACTTGCTAAGGATAATAAGGGGGAACAATATGTCGACGGTGCAATGGTGAACAGATCAACCAATATGAGCAGCAGTAGGAACGTCCAACAACCCGCGGTCGGTGGAGCGAGGAGACAAAAAACGAGCTCACGCATTTACTCTCACTGTGATATCAATCTGTCCCATGTGAAGAGTAAGATAGACACGAACATTTATAAAAAGCAAAAGAGTGAAACGGTAAATGTTAACTCAAGTGAGAGAAGCGGTTCATATATAGAATCTGATGAGTGTGGGGGAAAAGGTAGTCGTGTGTTAAAAGGAAAGGAGAACATGAGTACATACCAGAGCTCTTCCGCCTTATCAATGGGTAACAGGGAAAGAAAAAAGAAAAGTCTGATGGGTCATCCAGAATTAGGCGCAAGGAATGTAGGCGAGTTGCAGAGGCTCAATTCGGTCAAGACAGATACACATGCTTCTAACTCTAAAAAAAATTGTAGCGCGAAAGGGGGGGAGCATCCTTATCTAAATGACGGTGGGCCAATTAAAAAATCAGACAGTGCATTGTTTAACACGGACTATGAGGAAGAGTTGCAAAACAAATTGTTACTCCTGAATAAGAGGAGCCTTTGTGGAAGAATCGATCACAGAACACAGAGTTATGCGAAGGAGGGAATGAACAGTTGTTCCAAGGAAGGAGGAAACCGCTTCATCTATGAGGGTGCTACAAATAATGATAGGCATGGTCAGGGTGGACACTCTTTGCATAGCGACTCCTACAACCGAATTGACTCCGTCAATGGTGGAAGCAGTGAGAGGGACCGAAGCTGCAATTGGGGTGTTTCGATGCCCATATGTGCATCTAGCAGTAATGGAAAGAATGGCCAGGGAGGGGAATTCATGCGGATGAAGTCCAACTGCAGGGGTGACATAGATCCAAGTGAAGTAAATTGTCTTAATGGAACAGGGATGTTAGCATCTGGGTGGGACAAGTGCCAAATGGTCAGACACTCCCCTGTAGGGAAAAAGGCATCAAACATGTTATTAACAGAACCGGCGAAGAGATACTGCATGCAGATGGAAAAAAATGTGAAGGGGAACCATTATTCCGGATCGTTCGATGAGCACGACATGAATGCTATAGGAGAACACATCATGGAAAACACCTCCTTTAATAAGTTGGGTTCTATCGTGTTTAGCTCAGATGCGGATGAATGTGTGGAGGGTAGCTTCGCTGGAAAGGGAAAATGGGTAACTCCCCCACCAAAAGGTATAGTCGTCACTAGGAAGGAATCACTTCAAGAGTGGTGTGCTCCCCTTGGGAGAAGTGCGTCCAGAGTGGGAGACAATTACCCAAAGAAGGAGGCCCCTAAGAGAAATATCAGGTGCGGAGATTGGTCCATCATGCAGTGTGTAAATGTTCGAAGGACAGATTCAGAATCTACTGACATTGCAGATGTGGATAGGAATGTGCCTTGTAGGAGGGGAAGAAACCAAGTGGCTAAATTGGACCGAGACAATACACACATGGACGGTTATGTGAAGGGACAAAATAAAGGCAAGATTAGGGATGGCACAAAAGGGGGGCAACCCGTGTACATGTTGAGGGTGCAGAAAAGTGCGCAGGAGGGGGCTGGTAACAGATTCGATTTAGGAAATTGCCTACTGTCGCGTCCTTCCACGCCCACTTCTTTACATAAGAGGGGGGAAGAAATCGGAAGGAGTGACCAGCAGGTGAAGGGAGAAGTAATGAACAAAAATGGAAGTATTATGTATAGGACAAAACCTGCATTATCACAACAGGGTAGCATTAAAAAGAGCACATCGAATTGTGGTTCGGCGACATTGTTAAACTCAAACGATAAAAGGAGTTTAACACCCCAAATGGGTTCTACTAGGGTTGCAAGTAGTGCTAACTGCTTTACGAACAAAGTTGTTGTAGATGAGAACGAGAGCGGGTGGTACACTGCCATTTGTGACAAAGGAGGATTTTTTAATAATCCTAATAAGGGCGCGAAGAGCAAAGAAGGTTTACTGGCCAAGGCGGCTTCCAATTGTGTCCACATGGATGCCATGAGAAGAAATAATAGTGCACAGGTGCTTCCACCTTGTGTAGTGCATCCGGCCGATAACAGTGCCTCAGGCTGTTTCCCCTACAACAACTATGTGCACAAAGAGCAGTTAAGAAGTGGTAATGGAGATAGTCCTCCTGGTGGTGTTAAAGGTATGTACGAACCTGTTCAATTGAAGAATAGGTCGATGGGCACATGTCATCAGGGGAACGGAAGCGCCATGTCGATTAAACGCATGGGAAGTAAAACCAGTGTGGAAAAAAAAGGCACATACGAGAGTTATGCAAAAGGGGCTGATGTAGTCAATTAGGCAGGCCAAAAAAAAAGGGGTGGTGAGCATTATGGATTATGCAAGCGTCCGTGTGAGCAAAGTACAGGTAGCTGTAGACGAGAAGTAGGAAGAACTTGTTGGCGTGTGTGCTACTCCTATTTGAGCCATGTAGCCACGTGAAAAGTAGTGTGAGGAATAGGATCAATTATACCATCAGTATGTTTCATCGTCAGGGTGAACGTACCAGCAGACGTGTTAACCACCGGTGGGACTTCTAACATTTTGCCCCCATCCAGTAGCATATGCAGCAGGGGAACCATGACTCCGATATGGCACTGAACCACGGCACCACATGTGGCCAACACTGGGGCTTAAATAATAATGATGGCACCTACTACCCACTTTTTGTCCCCGCCTTTTTATCATTTGCAAAGAACACACTTTTCGTCTGTTTCATTTTTTTTTTTTTTACTTCATTTTGCATGTCATTAATTATGTCATGTGTTTTATAATTTTTTACCGAATGGTCAATGTCTTTTCCTGTAGCAAAGTCGCACCAGCGGCTTGATTACTTCGATGTGTTCGAACTTGCAAAAAGAGAGACGATTAAAAAGTGTAAATTGGGCAACTGTATGATATATCATATGCAATTACGAATTAAACCATTCGGGCTTCTGTAACGAATGAATTCAAACTGGCAATCACGCGCAGGTAAGCACAAACCAAAAAAAAAAAAAAAAACGAGCAGCGGTGACAGCTCTAGCTTGTATTATTACTCCACATGTGTAATCTACGCAGATTGACATACCTGGGTACTCTCCATTTGCACTAATCATATGCAAGTGTAAGAAGAGGTTTCTACGTTCTTGTTTTCAGCAATCCTTCCCAGTTCAGTTCTTCTTGCGTATTGCTACCATAGGGTGGGTGGGGGAGGGTTGCGCGACATTGTAAGCATCCTTCTGTAGCAGGCGAACCACAAGTTAACACAGCGGAGGTAGGTGGAGCTCGTCATGTGGTGCATGGCCTTTGTACGTGTTAACATGACCGATCGGATGTACAGCCAGGTGCACACATAAACAGAGCAAATCTCATGCGCGCTCTGATTAATTCAGGAGAGACGAATATTACATACACAGGCGGGGGAGCCATTGATGACAGTTATTAGGGGTATAGGGTTCATGCAAATATACGATGGAATGTGGGGTCCCCACTCTTGAAAATTCATGCACATCATAATAGGACTGTAACAACATCGAATTGGAAAGATAGCACATGCATAGCATTTTGGGCATGCATGCGGGGTACATATACACATATGCAGTGAGGTTGGGATAGACAGAAAAAAAAAAAGGGGGCCACTCTCAGAATAACGAGAGGGTTTATATAAGTATTTGTGTGGACCTGTTTGTGTAAGTGTATACTGCGCGTGCGCACCGGGGAAACGCACACTACAGCGGCTAACAAATATATTCGAAGAATGGCCCTGTGCGCTGCGAACACACGGAAAACGCAACCGTTGCGTAGGGTGCCTTTTAATTACTCTCCTTGAAGTACGCATGCTCAAGGGCCTCTTTTGCGGTGATCCTCTGATTCGGGTCGAGTCTCAGCATCTTGGAAAGCAAATCTATCCCCGTGTCGTCTAATCCTTTTAGCTAAAAACGGGAAACGCGCAAAAGGGTGTTGCTTATGTGTTGTGCGAGTAGTAACGTGCGGCAGGCACGGGATACACCGAGAACGTAGCACGTTTGAATGAAGTGCGCACGAATGAGGCGGTGAATTAGGTGGGTCCAATGGGCAATGATAGGGTTACATGCACAAAGTGCTGATTCATGCTCGTGGCACCAATATTTTTGCATTACAAATGTCTCCCAGGGCAAGGGTTCGTAGACCATAAAATCTGGGTCGTACTTGGGAAGCTCAGTAACATTCGGCCAATTCTGCGAATTGGGGGTTCCCAGAATTTTGAATATCCTCATGAGCTGATCGGTTTCTGACACCCCTGGGAAGAGGGGCCTCCCATTAACCATTTCTGCAAATATGCAACCCACGCTCCACATGTCAATTGGGGTGGAGTATTTCTTCGAGCCCATTAGAATGTCCGGTGCTCTATACCACAACGTGACGACTTCGTGGGTGTACTTCCGTACGGGGATTCCAAAGGCCCTGGGAGGGGGAGGCAGTTAAACCCGGGAAGCAACGAAGTGTATGCGTGATGGCGCATAGGAATAGACACAGGAATGAGCAGCACTTCTACGCAGTAGAACCTATACGTACACGTAGGCAAAGAAGACGGATCGGTCTACGTAGAATCTACCTGGCGAGTCCAAAATCTGCGATTTTTAATTCTCCTTCCCGATTTATAAGCAAATTCTGCGGCTTCAAGTCACGGTGCAGCACTCTGTGTTCATGGCAATAGGCTATTCCACTGAGCAACTGGAGTAGAAATGATTTGGCCGTTACTGACTCGAGTCCTCCTGCAAAAAAAATTGGACCATTGTTAAGGAGGTCCTTCATGGTAGCTTCACATGCACATAGTAACATTCAGAGGTGCAAGTCTACGTGTGCATAGCGAATATAACAAATTTGGAGAAGACGGAACGTTTCTATAAAATTTTTTTTTTTTTATCATTTGTTACCATCGCATACGTCTAGAAGTTTTTTGAGGTCTTGATCGAGATGCTCAAAAACCAGTATTAGTCTTTTTTTTGTGTGTATGACATCATACAACTTTACTATATTTGAATGTTTTAACTCTTTTAGAATGCTAATTTCTCTAATCGCTGGATGGTGGTAATAAGTCGGGGCGCTTACGTATGTGTGTAATTGTGTGAAGAAGCGAGCAGGCTGTTGCTATATGTGTGCACACATGTATATAGATGCGTGTTGCATGAAGGAGGACTGCCTCAGATGGGAAACTGTGTGCAACTTGCGGACAGTTTTTTTGAAATTGTGTGCACGCGCGTACATTTGCATGTGCACATAGGCTTTCTCACTCGCGCACTTGTGCACGCGCCCCATTTTAAACAACTCCAATGGGGAGGGGTTAGGCTCATTGCTCATAACTGTGCTAACCGGTTGACGGAATGCCTTCATCCTCTTTTTCCAGTCTTATTTTCTTCAAAGCGAATGTTTCTCCGTAATTATTTTGTGCCTTGTAAACTACACCATATGTACCTTCTCCAATTTTTTCTAATCCATGGTATTTTTCCATTGTTTTTTTTTTTAAGTAAAAATCACAAATGCTGTGCTTCTTAAAACATCTTACTCACCTTGCCATTACAATAAATAAGGGGAAACAAATACATTTGACCAGAAAATTACACGCTTTTTATAAGCAGCTGATATATAGCCATGTGCGGATGGCCAAAATGCAAAAATAACAGCAAGCCACATGTATTCCCACATTTTTTTTTTTTTTTTTTTTTTTTTTTTTCAGGCAATATTTTTTTTTCAAAAAAAAAAAAAAAAAAAAAAAAAGAAAAAAAAAAAAAAAAAAAAAAAAAAAACAAAAGGAAAACTTATTTGAACACCGGGTGAACGTGGACCGACGGGAAACCACATCGTGTACAGTTGAGTAATGATGTGCAGACATGTACAAACATATCAACTGTCTGTGCAAATGAGCATAATGAAACAGGCAAATACGAAGTTATGTTTCATACCCTATGAACTCATCGTTCGCGACACTGAGCAAGTACAGCAAGGAGTTTTTGCCTTATTTTTAAAGACGCTTGTGGCTAGCGAAAACGTAGCGTGCGTCAATTTGCTAAAAAATTGCTGAACTGTTCATAAAAATAACATTTCATTTACAAGTTTTTACTCGCGTTCTTTTACAGTAGTTATTATTATTTATTCATTATGTGAACATGATGATGTATGTGTAAGATATACGCGTGTACTATTCTAAAAATGCTTCTCACAACAATGAGGGGCTATACAATTTTACGCAGTATGTACAATTTATCGTAGGAGAAAACCGAAAAAAGGAAGAAAAAATTTTATGTGAGGCGTAATATATATATATGAGTGCTATATAACAGGTAACATGAATGATACACAATATGTAACATGCAATTGTATGGAAGTATCCTATTGTAATGTGCATAATCCGAAAAACAAAGAAAGCTTATGCGTATGTGTCCCCCAGCTGGGCTCTGTTTGTTCTTTGTTTATTTCTTGGCTGGATTTTTGGCTGACACGGCACCAGGTTCTTTCTTTTCTACAGCTTTGATGATACCGACGGCAATGGTCTGTCTCATATCTCGAATAGCAAATCTTCCTAAGGGTGGATACTCAGTGAAGGTTTCAACAACCATAGGTTTCTTTGGCTCGAGACTTACCAAAGCTGAATCACCAGATTTAATCGATTTGGGATTCTCTTCAACAACCTTACCAGAACGCTTGTCAATCTTGGAGTCAATGTTCAAGAATTTGCAGGAAATGTGAGCAGTGTGACAATCGAGGACAGGGCTGTATCCGTTCTTGATTTCTCCAGGATGGTTCAAAATAATGACCTGAGCAGTAAACTTGGAGCATCCCTTGGCTGGCTCATTCTTGGTATCGGAAGCGACATATCCTCTCTTGATTTCCTTAACAGAAACGTTCTTCACGTTAAATCCGATATTGTCACCAGGTCTGGCTTCTTCCAAAACTTCCTTGTGCATTTCAACAGACTTACACTCCGAAACGACAGCGGATGGTGCGAAATTGAGGACCATACCGGCCTTCAATATACCAGTTTCAACTCTTCCGACAGGTACAGTACCGATACCACCGATTTTGTAAACACCTTGGAGTGGAATTCTTAAAGGCTTGTCATATGGTCTCTTGGGTGGCTCCATAGTATCAAGGGCTTCAATTAAAGTTCTTCCCTTATACCATGGGGTTTTCTCGGACTTTTCAATCAGGTTATCACCTTCAAAACCAGAAATGGGAATAAAGTCAACCTTGTCCGCTTGGTATCCAACTTTTTTCAAGTAATCTCTAACTTCCTTTTTAATTTCTTCGTATCTATCTTCGGAGTACTTAACAGTGTCCAT